GGGCCAGCTGCTGCCTTTTTGCCTGACAGATCGAGCCAGAGCTGCGTGCTGCGACTGTCTGTCAATTGTGTGCAAATACAATCTTACGGTGCTTTCAAACATAGACGTTTGTTTCGGAATCTGTCTCGTTTCACCCGTTAGCGCGTTTTTTTTAGCATATATCCAGCAGTTGCGCTCGCTTCCGCGCCAAATCAATCAGTCCAAGATCGCCTGAATGAGACGGTCTCTGTCCTATTGAGCGTATCGATTGTAGCGAGAAAACAAAACAATGCAACGAACTAACGACCCAGGCTATATCACAGTGTATCATGATCGTGTAATAGCCATATATACGGCTATATAAAGAGGGAATGATGAGCAGGGCGAGATGTCATTCTTACCGGTAAATGCGAAAGTGAAAGCATGCTGAAATATTACCGAGATCTGTTTATCCAGCCTGATCTCGGTTTATCCGTCAGGAAAATTGACCGAAATTACTATCTGTTAATTTTTCCATATTTTAATCGTATAATATGTTGTATTAGGCCTGTTGTTTTGTTCATTTCCGCACTGACAGCTCGAAAGAAAGATTTACATTGATCTGATGCAGTATCGGTTTATCTGCTATGTCTCTCTATAATTTAAGCCTAAAATACAGAATTATAGTCAACGTTTCTTTGATAGATTGATTAATTCAATTGATCGATTTCTACAAAACCTGACAATTGAAATGAGGCTCTGTATATATGAGAAAGTCTGACCTCGATTTGTATTTGGTGACGATGTCTGTGGGTTGTTAAAATTAAAGTGCACATTTTCACTTATAAAATATTCTATACACAATACACAAAAGTTTGGGGTCAGTGTGATTAAATATGCTAAAATAAGCTTCTTCTGCTCACCAAGGCTGCAATTATTTCATCATAAATACAAATTGTGAAATGTTGCACTATAAAATAATTGTTCAAAAGTAGTTTATCATTTAATTTATTCATTTATTCCAGTGATTTTAAAGATGAGATTTCAGCTTCATTACTCCAGTCACATGATCCTTCAGAAATCACTAATATTAATTATTATTATATTTATTAATGGTAATAGTTATAAAATCAATAATGTCTGGAGTAATTATTTTATTTGAAACTAAATACAATAACAAAGCAGTTATTTAAAATTTTAATAAATATTTAACAATTACACCTTTTTTACATTTATAAATATAGCCTTGATGAACTGAATAGTTTTCCTTAAACATTTTAAAAATTACCGTAAATATATATACAGATTTATTAGCCCCCTTTTGTTTTTTGTTTTTTTCTTTTTAAAATATTTCCTAAATGATGTTTAACAAAGCAAAAAAATGTTGATATTTTGTCTGATAATATTTTTTCCTCTGAACAAAATCTTATTTGTTTTATTTTGGCTAGAATAAAAACATTTTTTTAACCATTTTAAGGTAAAAATTTATTAGCCTCTTAAGCTAATTGTTTTTCAGACTGTCTACAGAACAAACCATCATTATACAATAACTAGCCTAATTACCCTAACCTGCCTAGTTAACCTAATTACCCTAGTTAAGCCTTTAAATGTCACTTTAAGCTGTATAGAAGTGTCTTGAAGAATATCTAGTAAAATATTATTTACAGTCATCATGACAAAGATAAAATAAATCAGTTATTAGAGATGAGTTATTAAAACTATTATGTTTAGAAATGTGCTGAGAAAATCTGTTCTCTGTTAAATAGAAATTGGGGAAAAAAATAAACAGGGGTGTTAATAATTTAGGGGGACTAATAATTCTGAAATCAACTGTGTGTGTGTGTGTGTGTGTGTGTATACACACACACACACACACACACACACACGCACATTCAAATAGCGATTAACTTCTTTTTTTTTTTTTTGGTGGGGCCAGTGAAAATTTGGGCTGGGCAAGTAAAAATCAGAACCACTGGCCCGATTGGGCCCGTAGAAAAAATCCTTAGCGTTGAACTCTGTGAGCACTGCTTAGTTTAAACCCTCGCTATTGTAACGCATATAAATACATACACTAATATTTGCTGGTAGGAAAAATCTATTTGTTCACTTCTGTTATTTATACTTTAATGTGCATTTCAATTTTTTTCTTCCACTTAACTGCAAATTTGAATAAAAACTGGATAAAGAGCACACAAACATGCTGACAGTAATAGGTACTGTACACTGTTATGGGTCAATGATGCTAATATTCGGCACAAATCCATCAGTTTCTTAGGTTATTAGATTATTTTATAATTTCACCTCTCCTGCTGTGCATGAACTATGCTGTTGAATGTTCAGCGTATGAGGTGGCTAGGCTAACCTTGCTTCAATTTTGATCAAATTATTTTCTAATCAGTTGCTATTATGTTGTGAATATACCCCTGTAATGTATACTGCAGTCCTCTTTTGTCTGGCTTTCTCAGATATCTCACCTGTTTGCCAAAAATGACTAATTAAATCCTTGGGAATGTCTGACACCAGCACATACACACTGTAAGAGATGTGCCAGGCATGAAAGCTTGACAGGCGTAGCAACAGTAACTAAGGAGGGCGAGGCTTAGCGAAGGGTTATTCCAAGAATGTTGATATGGTTTCTTTCTTGCTTTACTATTTATTAACAATACACCAAAAAACTAAAAGGTTAAGGTAAATTCTTTAATAAATTCTAGTGTTTTTGAGTATTATACTTGTTGTATACTTGTATTATACTTATGTTTTAGGCTAGTATTATTTACGACTTGTTAATTAATGCTTCATAATACAGTAGTATTACCAATAGTGAACAGATAAAATAATACAAAGTGTAGTTTTACTACAGTAAAGGTGTAGTGATTTGTAGTATAAAATACCCTATATTGTAAAATACAGCACTGGGTAATTTGTTTATATTACACTTGTGTTACCATAGCAACTATAGTATTACCACAACTGATCAATTGAAGTTCTTTACTGTAGTAGGCTACTGTTCAAAACACAGTACATGCCAATATGCGTGTTCAGGGGCCCTGTGGCACAGCTTTCCTCAAAATGAAGAGGATGACATGGAAAATGTCCTCCACAATCTCATCAGTAAAGTGGAAGCCAGCAGACACTAGTTTACTTTATTTTAGCTGCCATGATAAAATGAGATTGATAGTGAGATTTATTTGAAGAGTGAATAGTACAGTAGGCTATAATACTTTATCAAGTGTTTCCTTATTTTTATCACAGTTACATTTCTGATTGCATTAGTTTTTGTTTAAATGCTTTTAAAATAAAATGTATTCTTTACATCCAACATCTATTCCAGAGGTGCCTTATAGTGGTGTAAACCCCTTTACAAGGGGTGTTTCCCCTGTGTAAACTCTAGCCACCCCTGTGGCCAACCCGATATGATTTTGCTGTTGACATTATTTATTTAAATCTACTTACATAAATGCAATACAATGCAATATTTCAATAAATAAATAGCAGCCACTAAATTATTGTGGATTGATTGGTGCCACTGATGTAGCTGGCCTCTTCTGGCCCCCCTTAAGCAAATTTTCAGGGGGGCACCACTGGTCTATTCTCTGTCTTTAAGTGTTTGAAACTGAAAATATCTCATCATATAAAACAACCAAAAATGTTATGGTTTATTAGATTAAACATTTAATATATAAGTCTATTTTAGTATTTTGGTTATTGTCATTAAACAGTGCAGCAATATGAATCATATCAAAAAGCATGAAAGGAAGAGGGAACACGACACAAATTGTGAGTTTGCATATAATCTCTGAGAGCGCTCAAGAAAATTTGTGTGTGAGCAGTGCATATTTGAAAGCGAGAGAAAATTTGAGAACTCGCAATCAGTTTTGTCCACAAACAGAGGAAATCCGTGCACGAGCATCACACAAGGTAGAGAGCAAAGCTCTTCAACGTTATGTGAAGAAAACAACTTTATTGTTTGTATGAAGTAGCCTACTTCATTAACAATATGTGCTACCATTTTACATTGCTGCTAGACGGATTTGCAACTCCATCTCTTTAGCACACACCAGATTCAATTGACAAAATTCCAATTTCACTCAATTTAACTTTGCAGCATATACAGGAGTTGGTCTACTGCTACCACATTGAGGTTATGTAATTTTGGTTAATCACAAGTTGATCACCGAAGACATAACATAGCACAACTAAACTTAATGAATTAGACAGCAGTAGACCTGCAATTTCTGTGTGATGTGAGGCAAAATGGAGTCTTTTTTTGGTGGAACTCGTTCTTGTGCATTATGCTGTGGAGACGAGACGCAGCACTGTTCAGCACTTTTTCAGAAAATCGCATTTGTATTTTTATATATCTAAGCAATGTTCTTTAATAAAAAAAGGTTTGTTTAATTAATACAGATCTTACAACCATACCTAATCTGTATATATTTTATTTTTCTGTTAAAAAGACTCGAAAAGACTCGAAAATCAAACTGCAGGACTTTGGACTTGACTTGAGACTTGTTGCCTTTGACTCGGGACTTGACTCGGGACTTGCCTGTCTTGACTCGGGACTTGACTCGGGACTTGAGGGCAATGAATTGAGACTTACTTGTGACTTGCCAAACAATGACTTGGTCCCACCTCTGGACTATACTGTTTGTAAGCTACTAGGCTAACTACAAAATCTACAGTTGAAGTCAGAATTATTAGCCCCCCTTTAATTTTTTTTTAAATATTTCCCAAATAATGTTTAACAGAGCAAGGAAATTTTCACAGTAAGTCTGACAATATTTTTTTCTTCTGGAGAAAGTCTTATTTGTATTATTGCGGCTTGAATAAAAAAAATATAATAAAAAAAACATTTGAAGGTCCAATTAGCTTCTTTAAGCTGTATTGTCATTTGAGTCTACAGAACAAAAAATTATCCTAATTCAATAACTTGCCTAATTAGTCTTACCTGCCTAGTTAGTTAAGCCTTTAAATGTCACTTTAAGCTGTATAGAAGTGTCTTGAAAAATATCTAGTCAAATATTATTTACTGTCATCATGGCAAAGATAAAATAAATCAGTTATTAGAAATGAGTTATTAAAACTATTTTGTTTAGAAATGTGCTGACAAAATCTACTCTCTAGAAATTGGGGGGTAAACAAGGGAGCAAATAATTCGGGGGACAAATATTCTGACTTTAACTGTACGTCACTAAATATTTTGACTGCAGTTTCTTTAAGAAAACCAGGAAGTGAACAACTTCAAATCGAAAGTGATTCTTATCAGACACATTAGCAGCGCGTAGAAGTAGGTTCGCTAGTAAAGTTTAATATACACGTGTCTGTAGTATCATACGAGTCCACAATTTATGCTAATAGAAAACAGTTTATGGAAAAATCATCAAAAATGCACTAGTTACCCAACCGGGTTAGCGTCGATTTCCGGAATTTTATGCGAACTAAGCTTGATCGACAGAAGAGGGCAGAAACACTGCTAAAGACATAAACAACAAACACGGGTAAGTTTATTAATAGACAGCTGCTATAGCTATACTTTAATATAGGCTTAAAGTTCTTATTAACATAAACTGTGTGTCCAAAAGACATCAAAAAGGCCATATGATTAACGTTTGCTGAACAAAAAGTTTCTTTAAATATTAGGACAAATGGACTTTTCTCAACGTAACTAGCTAGTTTTGTTGTTGTTGTGCACATTAATTAGCATGTTAACGTACCATTTTTTTGCATATTTATGAAGTAAACAGTACTGAACCGGTCCAACCTGTGTTAACAAGAACAACTAAGGTTAAAAAGTCTCTTTACCTCAAACAGCGTTTCTGTCACTGCTGGAAACATCTTAAAAACTCGTGACGCCAAAAGTAAATCAGCACGTTACAGTGCTCTGCTGTACGTTTATAAGTAAGCCCAGACATAAGCAGGCAGTTCATGATTGTCTGTCGGTTGCTAAACTGCCATTTTTGCAACTGGCATCAGAAATTAGGGGACTAAAACATTACTTGTGTGTGTGGTATAGAAAGGGTTAAGCCCTATATAACAAACATCTTCGATTTTAATGCTCACGTCGCAGCACTGCAGTCCTCCTGCAAGAAGAGGCATGGTCCATTCACAAAAAGGCAATTGAGGGTAATCTGCGCATCTCTCTTAACAGGGTAATCATCATTTTTGTGACAAACGAAGATTAAATAGCAAAACATGGACGACGACGTGGACATGGCGTCAGACAACAGTCTGCCATTAGGAATCGGGGCTTCCGCATTCGGAAGTGAAAATGGGGATGAAGAGGACGTCCTTCCTGAGAGGACACTTCCATTCTCTCTGGGATACTCCGATCCTGTGGGGTAATATGGCTTTTTTGGTAATATGATATTGGTGGGGTGGTATGATTCAGCAGTTGATGTCCATGTTGATGTTCATTTTAGACGCGTGCGTGCATGTTCTGTGGTTCAAGTGCGACACCTGCTGGTGAGATAAATCCGCTTTCAAACACAAAAACAAACGTACAATACCATATTCTGTTTTAGTGTTAAAGAACAAACAACTCATACATATTAGAAATTAAACATTTAATTGTATAACACATTTAAACAATTAACTGGCATTGTATAACAGTAGTATAAAAATTCTGTCAGGCATTTTAGGACAGGAATTATTTGATAACAGTAAAAGACTCATTAATTATAGAAAGCTATAATTACATGTTATCTTAAACCTTAAAACAACTAAGTTTTAACCAACCTGTCTTGGCCATTTCTCAGGTTTTTAATAATTTATAATATATATATATATATATATATTTTGATTGTTGCTTATTATTCAATAATATATTGTAACAGGTTCTGTATATATACAGGTTCTGCTATACACACTACCGTAAGGTTTGGGGTCGGAAAGATTTATATTGTTTTAAAATAAGCTTCTCCTGCTCACCAAGGCTGCATTTATTTAATCAAAAATGCAATTCAAATTTAGAAATGTTATTGCACTTTAAAACAACTGTTCATAAGTAGTTTATAACTTAATTTAATCATTTATTCCGGTCTTTTTAATTATTAATTTTTAGCTTCATTACTCCAGTCTTCAGAGTCACATGATCCTTCAGAAATCATTCTAATATTAATGATTGTTACTATTATTATTGGCAATAGTAATAAATGCAATAGTGACTGGAGTAATAATTTAATATAAACTACTAAAGTAATATATATTTAATAAATGTTTAACAATTTAACAGTTTTTTGTTAAATTTAACATTTAATAAATGCCACCTTGATGAAAAGAATAATTTTCTCAACAAATAAAAACATGGAGAAAAAAAATTATAGTGTATATAGTCGACATTTGAAAAAAAAATCTGAATTGTCCTAAGACAAGAATGGGTGTTTTTCAAATGTTTTGATCCACTTCAAATGTTGACTACTATACATAATATAACATTTACACTAAATGACGATAGAACAATTAAAATAGATTTTTGCTAAAGTTTCCAAAAATTTCCACTTCCATTTAATATGCATTCTAAGTATAAATCTCTTTCTAAGTTTAATTTGATGCATACTCCAAAATGGGACATTGTGTCTTTGACCTATTTACTAAGTTTAGTGTTGCCTTATGTACGTGTAGTTAGATGCAACCCATTCACTTTCAGTTTACAGTCTCTTGTGTGTAATAAATGACACAATCAAAAATTTGTATTTTTCACCAGACAATATGTGGAGAGAGCAGAGTCGCCTGCATCCAGTTACAACTCCATGGAAAGTAACAGCTGGTCAGAAACAAGAGAAGAGCATGGACCGACTCGCACACAGTAAGATTTCATCAGCGACATTCTCTGTTTTGATATAAGCTCAGGGGCAGTTTTATTTACATCTATTGAAAAAATCTCGAGGCCACTTGAACATTCAGTTTCTCTGGATTTATTACATATATTGGTTTGAGTAAAATGTAAATATATTTTATTCTTTAATGGGCATGATCATTTACAGCTTATTCTGGCAGAAAATGCATCTAAAATGACATTGCTTTATTTTGAATTTGGATGAAATGTCATCTGTAGTTTACAGGGAAAAAAGCTAAATGTTATTATGTTTTACTCCAGCATAACCATACAGTAAATCTTAAATCTAAAGAAACAAGTCCTGATCTCTCGATTTTTTTTATAGCTGGCACAGGTAATACTGTATGTTCATTATAAAGTGTAACAGCATTTTAGAGAAAGGATTTAGGGTTTAGCAGTGGCATATGTAGCAAATGCAGTCAATTAAAATGACACCTACTGTAGAATGTTTTTTTAGAGAGAGATCAGAGACTTTGTTATCTGTGTGCTTGTGGCTTAGGTTGTCATTCTCGTAAGTCTGGTTGGCCAAGATAAGAGTTTAACTTTTTCCACAGGGTTCAGCTATACAGACGGGACTCATCTGCTTCTAGCAGTGATTCCTTTATTAGTGATGATGAAGACTTGAATATGGAGGATGAAGCTGGAGAAAGGTCAGCCAAAGTCACATGATGCATCTCTACTGTTTTGAGTTGAGCCATAACCATGCTTATTAGTTTACGATTCAAAGGTCTTATATTATGTTTTGAGTCATTTTAAGACTGGCAGATGTTGTTTATACTGATTAATGCCTTTAAACATTTGGATATGAGGATTGTTTATTGATTTAATATTCATCTATCAAACATTCATCTATATTTATTTAATTTAAAAATACATTTAGTAGGATTTTTTTATGTTTAGATTTTTCACTTCGTCCTTAATGTTAATACAATTTTAACATTGCCAATAAAAGGTTTGGGGTCAGTAACATAAAAATGAACCCCTCCTCTTTCGGTTCAAGTCTTCCTCAGAATGCTTTTAACAAATGCTTTATTATGGGCGTGGAGTGCTGCGAGCAAAGGGAGGAGTGGGTATGGCCTGCAGAACAGGGAAAATAGGGGAGCAAACAGTTGGCTCACAAAATGAGAGACAAACCTTAAAGAGACCCATGATTTTATAGTTTACAAAGTTAAAATGCAAAGAAATATACAGCAATTTAATGTCCTGCTACATTTGTTATTCATAATTTCATATAGGTCTATACAAACCACAATTTATTTATACCATTATAAATATAATCATGTTAATATAAACCCTGGGTCTGAATGCAGACACAGTGGAAAGCAGTGCAGCACATCTCTTGTCTATTTCAACCATTAGCCCTGCCAGTAATCCGGAGGATTTTAAACATAGGCGAACACAGCAGCACAGATATAGGTGATGTGTCTGAATGGTAAGGAACTCAACTGATAAAAGACAAAGTCCGCCATTCTCTAATTCTCATACAGCTCTCTTGACAAAAGAGCTTGCTCCACACATACAGCTTTACTGTATCAGCCCTGACAGAATTGCGGGGAAAAACGTGCAACAAACCCTGTGAATCATGGAAACAAACACATACAACCCTTCATAAACAGTTAAATACTATGTGCCGTGTTCAGTCACAGTCTCACTGCCTGGCAGGTTTGCCTTGCCTACGGAAAGCACATGCAGTCATGAATATTCAGTGGTTATTTTTGTAATTTGCGAGGTCCCTGAACAGATCAGGGTGGTGCCGGATCAGATTTCAAAGATGCCGGATCCAGCTTGTTCCAGCGCAAATTAAGCCCTGTGAATAATTAAGAAGCAGGGTCTTCTTCTTTTTCTTTGTTTTTAACAATGGATAGAATAGTGCAGAGAATTGCTAGGAAATAGTTGGTAGCAGAGAGAGGGGAAGGGTCGGCAAAGGACTTCAAGCCGGGAATTGAACTCGGGTCACTATGAGCACCATGGTGCTATATGTCACCGCATTAACCCGAAGGCTATTGGTGCCAACGAAGCAGGCTTATCATAGGATAAGAAATCTCCGCTATGAATAATAATGAGAAACCAACACGTCACCACTGGACAGGCAGATCAGTGTTACGTCATCGATTTTGATCCCACCCCAAAAAATATTTTAAACCCAGACGATGAAATTAGCTAACAAATAAAACATGATCATTTTGAGCTTTTATGTTGTGTATTATCATGTAACACACAAAATATGTTAAAAAATCTCAAAATAAATTGCTCGGGCAGAACCTTTTAAGCAGCACAACTGTTTTCAGAAATTCTTAATTATAATAATATTTCATCATCAAATCAACATAAGAGGGATTTTTGATTGATCACGTGACATCGAAAACTGTAGTAATGATTTCCAAAATTCGAAAAGAAATGACATGAAAATATAATAAAATAGAAAAAGGTTATTTGAAAATATAATTAACTTTACTGCTTTGATCAATAAATGTAGCCTTGGTGAGCATAAAACTTCTCTTAAAAAACATTTAAAAATCTCAGCAGCACCCAAACTTTGAACAGTAGGACAGTGTTCATTTGTTGTCACCTAAATATCTTTTATTTGTACTTTTTGTTTTAAGTGTACGGAAAAAGAGCAAGAGGGAAGCAACTGTGAAACAACAAAATCAACCTCCTCCTGTTAAACCAGAGTTGGAAGTGGATCCGAATGAGAAGAGGCATCCTGCAATGACTGTGGCATTCGCTTTCAATGTAAGGCTTACAATCATTCACAGTCCATTTAAAGCCATACATCCTGTTTTTCACGCATCCCTTTAACGAAGAGTTGCGAAAACATTCTGTGCTTTATCTCAGGCCCTCACAATCTGCCTAAAGAAACTGGCACAGGACGAATTAAAGGTCTTCAAGAAACTCCTGTGGGACCGATATCCAGAACGCTTCCGTGATCCCTTGGACGGACTTGATATTGTGGATCTAGTGGATAAGATGCTGGAGCTCTGTGATATTGAGGTGTCTATGAAGATCACGCTGGCAATCCTTCATTTTTTGAACTTAAAGAAGCTGTCTGAATATCTGCAAGGGCTTTGCAAAAGAAGTAAGTTCTGTTACTGAATTTATTATCTGATTCTTTAGCCGAAATATAACCATAATTGTTACCAGTGAGAAGAAAGAAAAGCTCTTTGACCGCTCTTGCGAAACTGTAATGTGTCATGGCTGACCACTTGTGACCGGATCACTGAAAATGCATTTTAACACCAAGTTAATTTTAATTTATCAAGCACATTTAAATTCAACAAGTGTTGTACCACAGTGCTGAAAAAATAGTACCCAAGATTAAACCATATCTAACACAACAACAATATAAAACTCTTAAGATACAAACAAAAGCATGCAGATAAACCAAAACAAAATATAACTAATATTTTCAGACGTCACCATGGACTCAAGAGAACAATGTGGGTGATGACCTCATGGCTGTAAGAAAACTGTTAGTGAGCTGCAACCTCGATGGTTCAAGGAGAACCAATGGTTAAACGGGACTGGAAAGAAGCAATTGGTTGCAGGAAGGAAGAGATCATGACAAAGAATAAAGTTTAAATGGCCATGAAACCTTATTCACACCTCTAGTTTGAAAAAAAAAGTCAGCAAAGGGGGTGAGTCCAGTTTTGTTCAGGTGGGAGTGTCGAGTGGCGAAAGAGTGTAAGGTTTGCATGAAAAGGGGAGTTTATTACATGGACAACAGCTGATTTTCACACCAGCAACACAAACACAGGTGCAAGGAAGATAGACAGTGATTCAGAGAGCAGATCTGAGAGCTGTGTGGAAGTAGAGGATGTTTAGTCCATAATGTTGTAGTGATATTACTGTAAACTTAGTAACTAAATCATTTTGGCTAAGGTATGTCTTTAAAAAAAAGAAAGAGTATTGCTGACGATACTAACTAACTTTGCCATCTGAATAAACATAAACAAAGAACAATGATCACACACTTATCCAATATGTAGAGACAGGAATATCAACACAAACTGGAACCGCGTCTTTTTTTAAAAGGAGACGAGTGGCAAATCTGGATTTCACCATTTCTATATGCGTAAAGCTCTGTTCCTTACAAACATATTTTTTTGCATGTTAGCCAGTGCTGAATTGGTAAATTGTGAGGTCCCGAAACACATTGGGGTCAGTGATCTGGCATGTTACCCGAGGATGGAAAGGTGCCGCGCATGAAAGTGAAGAGTTGGGAAGTTGCAGAAGAAAGTGAAAGTGAACAGCAGATGGGGAGGAGGGCAGTTGAGGAGGGGGATCGGTAAAATGAGGAGCCGGATGAGATTTTAGAGGTGGCAGATCCGGTGTGTTCCAGCACAAATTAAGCCCTGATGTTAGCAGACCACTGTAATCCAATGTCTTGGATCCACACATGAGTGATGCTCTCATCGCGGAGAAATGGAAACAAAACCTTCATTGCAGCATGTTTATAAACGCAACACTGACGATCAATGTCTCCAAACAATTCTTCTACTACTTGTTTGAATTACGATTGGCAACATAACGCAGCGTCTCTCTGAAGAGTAACAGGTAAAAGTAGTCTTAGAAGCTATATCATGCATATTAAGTTGCATAAGTTGCATCATTCATTATAGAGCATGCTGATTGGTTCGACCCAAGTCTTTCTCATGATTTAATGAACAGACATGCTGAAAACTAAAATGACGTCACTTTGTATCTGCCGGTATATACAGCCAATTTCCACTCTGGAATTTACACAATGATCGCATGGCCGTGAAATAGCTTAAAAAATTTTCTTTTCAAATCAGACGGACAGATTTTCTCTAAACAACGCAAAAATAATACATTTTACTAAAAGTGTTTTTAGCAATGTGGCACAGATATATGACTGTCAACATCCCAAAAATGTGTTTCGTGACCCTTTAAGAATATGGTGATATCAGGTATAACTCCTGATACCAGAATAACTCCTGAAGTGGTTGGTGCAATCTGAATGTAATCTGCCTTGGATGTACTTAATGTATTAAGTGTATACAGACCCACAGTACATTATACCTTTAGTCTTTAATGAGTTTCATTTTTAATGTTTTGCAGACGAAGTGCGCTACGAGTTGAAATTGTCACTTAAGAGGAAGTATGAGATGGTATACGAAGGGTTAAGTCAACAAGGACAACCAGTGCCCTTTGAGTCGGTCTATACAGATCTTTACATCACAGATGGCATCAATGCATCAGTGAACAGCGAGCACGAGTTCAGATCTAAGATAGAACAGCTCGAAGAGACGGGCAAAGTCAACCGAACACCAATAGCAAGAGAGGAAATCTTTCCCCTTGGTAATGAGAGGTCAAGGCATGTCAGGTCATTGTTAACCAGAGGAGTCCCAGGATGTGGTAAATCGTTTGCTGTGCAGCGCTTCATCCTCGACTGGGTGGATGGGAAAGTCAACGAAAATATTTACTTTGTCCTTCCTCTGCCATTCAAGGAGCTGAATCAGATGCTAGAAGGAGAGTACACCCTCCTTACTCTAGTCAGCACATTTTATCCAGAGATGAAGGAAATAGACACTCTAGATTTCGAAGGCTGTCCTGTACTATTCATATGTGACGGACTGGATGACACTCAAATCCTCTTTAATTTCCGGAGAACAGTATATTGCTGTGATCTGACCAAGCCTGTGAATGTGCAAGTGTTGATGACCAATCTCATCAGAGGGAACCTGCTGTATAGCGCCAGCGTATGGGTCACTTCTAGAGCAGGATCTCTAGATGTGATCCCGCCAGAACACGTCCACCAGCTCATGGAGGTTCGTGGCTTCAATAATGATCAGAAAGAGGCCTATTTTAGAAAGACCATCCCAGACGGAGAGCTTGCCGAGAAGGTGATTGCTCACATCAAGTCTTCAAAGACGCTGTTTATTATGTGCTACTCGCCGCTCTTCTGCTGGGTGGCATCTAAAGTGCTTCAGCGTCAGTTGGTCAGATCTTCAGCAGAGCTGCCCAAAACACTGACCGGTCTGTACACCACCATGCTGCATCTTCACACTAAAATGTGTGATCAGAAACTGCTGAACAACCCCAATAAACACACCAGTGGTCTGACTTCTGAGATTTTGCTCCTTAAGCTTGCAAAGCTGGCGTACGGGATGCTTGAGAAGAACGTGTTTCAGATTGAGAAAGAGCACTGGGAAGAGATCGAGTTGCCGGAGTCGTACCCTGCCATCGTCTGCACCGGCCTCTGCTCTGAGTATTACAGAGAGAAGTACATGATTTACACAGAGAAGGTGAGCTGCTTCTCTCATCCGACCATTCAGGAGTACCTTGCGGCTCTTCATGTTTTCTACTGCTACAGGAAACATGGAAAGAACGTCCTTGATCCGAGCAAGCTGAAGGTCTTAAAGGTTTCCTTGACAGACTTGCTTAAGAGCGCAGTTGACAAAGTTTTAAACACCAAGAATAGCAACTATGATATCTTTCTCCGCTTCTTGCTGGGTTTGTCTGTAGAGGCCAACCAGGAGGTGCTCAAGAGCCTCCTGCAGATCTCCAGCAGCTCTAGCCAGCACGCACGCGATGAGACCACTCGCTTCATCTTGAAGAAAATCAAAGAAGGACACTACGCGGAGAAACATGAAACCCTTATGCGCTGCATTGATGAACTTAACCCATAACCGCAGCACTGAAGTGTTGAGTAAAAAGAGTCCCATGATGAACTTAAACCAAATGAACCTAAAGCACGGCTCACACAGTCTGATTTTTAATAATTCTACACGATTGCCGCATGACAGACTGCACAAAAATGACTCCGATGTTACACTCTAAGATCTCAGTTCAGACTGAACAACAATGCAGTAATTTTGCATACAGCATGCCTCAATAATTAAATTAAAAAAAGCACTGGTTTGAAGGTGTAACGTTCATTCTGCACTCCTCTTGGTTGTTGCTTTGATGCTTGTTGTAACTAAAGTCACACTACGTGAACGTATCTCAAATCTTCTAAAAATGCTAGAACCTAAGGGAAAATTTGATCGCATCTGTTAAGCGGCTGTCAGTAAACATGTCAAACCAATGATCAAAGTCCACAGATTTGAGTCTAGGATTACAGGAATCTTTTAGTATTTCCTAAATTTTACTAAGATAACCAAATCGTGGTTGAAATCACAGTGTGAGCAGGGCTTAAGTTGTTATACCAAAGGTGTGTGGTGGTAGAAAAAATGAGCTATGAATGTTTTCAACCATCCAAAAGTTCATCTCCCAAAAGCGTTAGGGCTTTTCACACTGTACATAAATCGCTGTGAACACTGCTTTTAATCAAGGGTGAAGAAGTGTTTTACACTTATCATTTAGAGGATTACGAAACCTTTGTGTGGTGTAGGGTTGCTTTTGTTATTGCTAAAGCTATAATATGATTAGATGCTAAAGGGCCAACAGTTTACAGTCATGGTTCTTTTTGGTCTGGGACCATAGATTTGTTCTAAACTTCACCACCTCACCAGAAATTATGTGAACTAAAGAAAGCACTGTTTCTTTTTTACCTTTATAGTCTGTTAACTCCATTCTACAAAAAATAAAGTACAGTTATAATTTATCAGCTTTAATATATCAACCAAATTATTTATCAGACTGTTTATGTTAACATTAAAAATAACCATTTAGCTGGGTTTAACATCATCTAGAATGAACAATTGAAGTCTGAAAAGACTTGCCAATGACTTCATAATGCTTCATTAAAGCCCAGGGGCCTCATTTATAAAACGTTGCCTTGAAACTATTCTTTATGTAATATATAGCCACTTCACAATAGTGCTTATAAGTGATTCAGAGAAATGAATGCATGCACAAAATACACATGCTTCAGATGTGAAATTTTTGCAAATGATCTTGAAATAGTGTACAGAATGGTGTCAGGTTTCAGCCCTAAACAATGCCACCAATAAATCTGTTAATCATATGAAAGAGCATCAGTCATGTCCAAAGTCTTTACTCTTGAGAATAGTGAGTGCCAAGGATTGCTTAGTAAAATGACGAATTCTTTGCCACAAGGAAAAGTGTGTTCTTATGTTCAGAACTAAGCATGGGATTAATATTTTCCAATTCTGAAAGATAATGTGGATTTAACGTACACGCACACTGTACGATCAATTCTGTGTATATAAACATTTTATAGCTCTTCGCTGTATGACTATAGTGGCATTTTGGTGGATTTAAAGAGAGAATTTTGGTTTAAACACTAAGAATATTTTACCTGTTTATTTGGGACTGCTGCGTGCTTGCATTTGGAGAATGTTACTGCAAACTTTTTTTTAAATGTGGACAGTATTAAATGCTGTTAAATTTATTATTCCATATGAAAGCCTAAACATGCATGATATATTTGATTTTTCTTTATTATGGTCACTTTTATATGGCTTTGGAAGGTGAGACTGCAGACAAAAACACTGTTTTTTATTTCACTTTTGAGGTGTTTAAGGAAATAAGAACTCGTTTGCATATTTCAACATAACATTTTATAAAACATAAAATACAAAAAAAAAAATTGTTTGCAATTCCTAATGTAATCAATCAATTGTGGACGTATGGTGAATAAATAAAAGCTAATCTGTTTTAGACTGTAGTGTCTTCAAATTTAAATGTTACATATTTCAACACAATGCATTAATCAAATGAAAAGTATTGAAAATGAGAATAAATCTATTATAAATATGTATTTATGTATATTTCATAGCAAGAAAATCTGCATCATCATTTTATAAAGGTTTCTAAATTAATTTATAAATGTACAGTTAAAATCAGAATTATTAGCCCTTCTGAATTATTCGCCCCTTGTTTATTTTCCCCCAATTTTTGTTTAACTGAGAGAAGATTTTTTTCAACACATTTCTAAACATAATAGTTTTAATAACTCATCTCTAATAACTGATTTATTTTATCTTTGCCATGATGACAGTAAATAATATTTGACTAGATCTTTTTCAAGACACTTCTATACAGCTTAAAGTGACATTTAAAAGCTTAATTAGGTTCACTAGGCTGGTTAGGGTAATTAAAGTTATTGTATAACGATGGTTTGTTCTGTAGACTATCGAAAAAATTATAGCTTAAAGGGGCTAATAATTTTGACCTAAAAATGTTTTTTAAAGAAATTAAAAACTGCTTTTATTCTAGCTGAAATAAAACAAATAAGACTTTCTCCAGAAGAAAATATATTATCAGAAATACTGTGAACATTTCTTTGCTCTGTTAAACATCATTTGGAAAATATTTAAAAAAGAAGGGAGTTTAATAATTCTGATTTCAACTGTAAATCGATGTTAAAAAATAATACTGCGTGTCAAACACTATAATACTGCATGTCAAACACTGACGCTGTTGCAGATGTTTTCAGGGGTCATGTATTTGTAGGGCACGAGCAGGTCTGCGTTTCTGTCTTCAACATACTCACTGAAGAAGGCAAGCTCTGCCTGAAAATCTCTCATCATCTTCCGCACAGCAGTCTGGCAGAAATAATCCTCAGGGTACTGACCCAGCGGAACCTGTGTGAAACATTAGAAAGAAATTGTGGGCATTTAGAAAAAACAAACCAAACAAAAAATGCTATGCTGTAATCAGCAGAGCATGAAACACTCACTAAATCTGCTGAGGGTTTGCTGAGGAGCCAAAAAACAGACGCTAGATTTGCAGAGGTGTTGATGTCGGGCAGAGCCTGCAGAACAGTATTCTTATCTGAGCTTCCTTTACATGCAGGAGGAGGGCTTTTCAGAGAGCCAGGAGTGTTGGGAAACCAGCTGCCATAGTCAAACTAAGCAGAAAGGATCAAATAGATTAGAATCCCTTTATTTAAATCTTATTTTCACAGGGTATCTGTGGGGTCTTAAAATGTATTGAATATCAAAGCTAAATTTTAGGCCTTAAAAAGTCTCAAATCTACTGAAATATTGTGTTGTAGGTCTTAAATCTTTCTTAACAGGTCTTAATTTTCATTTGTTCGTGTATAGCCAACCAATCTAGCCATTAACACCCACACAATAACCAATAATGCATCTCAATGAAACTTTTAACTTATTGTTTAAAAAATGGCGTTTCATTTCTTTCCTTACAGTAACATTTGCTTAAAAGTTCTCAGTTTGTTTACTGCTAAGGGAACTTACCAGACCTCTATTTTCTGTTATTAAATCATTTGATTGTAGACTGAAGTCTGTGACAGCTATGTTTTGTTTTATTCTTGGTAAGGGTCATAGGGTTTGTGAATGGATATATTTGAAAATAATAATAATAATAATATCATTATTGTCATTATTTTTATATAAAAAATTAATCACTTTTAATAATTTTTGATAGTGGTAGTGAAAAACCTTTTCAACTGGGATATAAAAAATCCTTAGCATTTAGCCCTGTACAAGTCTAAAATAACATTCATAATGGTCTTAAAATTGTCTTTAAAAGTCTTAAATTTAATTTGGTGAACCTGCAGAAACCCTGTTTTAAACTCCTTAAATTTGTAAGCCCATAAACAGTGTATACAATATAATTATACATACAACAACAAATAGGCAAAATAGTTATCTTTGACAATGAAAAAAATGTAACTAAAAACAAAGAAAGAAACAGCCAAACACAGAGGGTACAAAACATATTGAAAAGGCAAAAATGACCAAAAAAAATGAAAGTTTTTTTAAGCCTTTTGTTATGAGTTAATGTTTTTGAAAGAATGAATTTTCAGTAGAATGTCTCATACGGTTACATAATATGGTTATATTTGACAATGGTTCTTATTATCAGTAGCTGTTTCCATCCACCTATTTTCATGCACATTTTGGAAAATTGCAGACAAAACTATTAACGAAAACATCAAGATGCACAGAATACTTGTGCGAGAGTAGGATAAATCTTTTATCCAATCGCATACTGATTTTCGAATTCTCTGAATTATACTACTCTGCTCGCATACTGTTTTTAGCATACTATATAATATGGAAGGAATTATGCGGTTTCGGACACAGCCAATGTGACAACCTGCAGATCGAACACATCATAAAACATCTGAAATGTTGTTTTGGTCATTCTAAAATCCCTCAGCCAAAGTCTGGCATCAAAGTGGTTTGTATTATTACTCTAGTCCCACACAGAAACTTTTAAAAGTGGAAAAAGTAGGAGCTTGGGAAAAACTGTGAAAGAGTTGCATTTTTGGAGCATTATTTATTTTTAAGTTTTTTAGCTCTAAGACAAATTTGTGTAAGGGTTACTCCCTGCTGTTTTGTATTTTAAAGTTCATTTGCTGATGTTTAGGAGCATACTGTTATTAATATCTGGAGTTAATGGTCTGGAGTTATGCTCTTCATTGTGAGGTACGTAAAAGCATGTTTTTATAATAAAACTATTTCTAAATGTTTGATATTTTGAGATGCAAATGTGAGCTCAAAAAAAATGTTGGGATAGTTCACTAAGGGGTAAAATTCCCTAATGCAATTCTATCCTCATTTCCACAAACCAGTTTTTTTTCTTTTGTTGAACATGAAAAAAAGATAATTAGAAAAATGCTGAAAACCTGCAACCATTGACTTCCACAGTATTTGTTTTTCCTTCTATGGAAGTCATTGTTTACTGTTAACATTCTTCAAAATATCTTTCTTTATGTTTCAGCAGAAGAAAGAAACTCGTAATGCTTTCAAAATAATTGATGGTAATTACAAAGGGAGTACATTTTCATTTTTGAGTGAACTATCTCTTTAAGCACCAAATCAGCATATTAGAATGATCACCAAAGGCTGGAATAATGATACTGAAAATGCAGCATTGCCAGCAAATAAAAATGACATTATAAATTATATTAAGAATGAACAGCTATTTTAAACTGTAATAATATTGTACCGAAAATGTTTAATAGTATCTCTTTACAGTGTACAGTAGCTTTGGTCAAAAATGAGACAAATTACAAATCTTAATAATTTCACACCTTTGACCTCTAGAGCAGGGATTGGCAAACTTGATCCTCAAGGGCCGGGTCCCTGCAGAGTTTCGTTCCAACACTAATTAGTGTCTTTAAGATCACAAGAAATCTATAAGCAGGTGTGTTTGATTAGGGTTGGAGCTAAACTGTGCAGGACACCGGCCCTCCAGGACTGAGTTTGCCCACCCCTGCTCTAGAGTATTTATTTAATGCATATATTAAATAAGTTTCTGGTAGCTTAAACTTGCCTGTCCTGCTCTAAGAGCAGCATGTTGAGCTGAAACTGTAAAGATCATCATGGTTAGGAATTTAATGAGCTCCTCCACTGTGCTGAAACTCTGAGGAATTCCTAAATCAGCAGAAATGAAAAATAATGATAAAAAATAAAGACTTATATCAGAATAAAGACTGATATCAGAACCAAAACCACATAATTAAACTCACCAGAGCTGCTCTGCTCCAGAAAGCCATGAATGAAAATGTCATTGATCCAGTCCTGGAGTTCAGTGTCCTTCTGCACATCACTGTCATTCTGGTAGAAAAATTCCACTACACTCCGAACAAAACTACAGACAGACAACAAAAACTTCACAAACTCATCTGATTTGTTTTGAAATAAAAAGTTATTAGATGGCTTGAAAAAAATGCAACAGGATTGAAATAATGTAAATAAATAATTGTTAAAGCATAAGGTAAACTAAAGAAATAATTGAAGATAAATCAAATTGAATACAACAGATATAAAAATAAAAAAGATAAATAATGAAATATTAAGAAAAAAAAATTTGAGAAATTCAAATTAGTTATTTAAAATAAATTAATAAAAAATAAAAAATAAACCAATTAAAATTAAATAAAAATATCAAATAAATTACAATTATACTAAATTTGAAAAATGCAGTTTTTAAAGTAAAAAATATGAATTTAATAATAATAATACTTAAAACAAATAAATGAAATTATACAATAAAATTAATAATTAATCAAATTTATTAATAATACACATAAATGAATATATTTTTTATTTAATATAACAAATATAATAAAATGTATAAAATATTATAACAATATAAAAAATAATATGCTTATAACATAATAAAAATAAATAGAGAGAGAGAGAGTTGCAATCAGAATTATTAAACCCTCTTTAAAAAAAATTTTTTTTTAAATATCTCCCAAATGATGTTTAACAGAGCAAGGAAATTTGTATGTCTGATAATATTTTTTCTTCTAAAGAAAGTCTCACTTGTTTTATTTAGACTAAAATAAAAGCAGTTTTAAATTTTTTAATTATAAATTATAATAATTTTAAATCATTATTATAATTTTAAATTATAATAATTCAGGGGGTTTGATAATTCTGACTTCAACTGTATATATAAAATATATGATAAAATATAAATAAATAATATTACATTTATAAAAATGAAAAAAAAAGATAAAATCAAATACAATTTAGTAAAATTTAAAAAAGTGAACTGAAATAAATTAATAAAAAAATGTCAAATTAATTTAAACTAAACTGTTAATAAATAAATAAAAAATATAATCTAAGAAATTTTAATTATACAAAATTTAAAATGTTGTTTTAAAATTAAAAATATCAAATAAAAAATATATAAAATATAAATAAATTAAATAAAACAATAAAATAAATAATTAAATGAATCAATAATAAATAAAAATATTAAAAGAATATAAACAAAATAAAGCAAAATATTAAAATTAAATACAATTTAATAAATAGTGAAAAAAAATGAAATAATCAATTTAATTAAGCAGTAAATTCAAATGATCCAAAATTGATGACCAATTAATTTAATAATATTTATTAAATTAATATCAATAAAATGTAATTAAGTAAAAGTTAATTTAATTAATAAGTTAAACCAAAAAAAATCATTTATTTATAATTTTATAAAGTAAAGTAAAATTTAATCAAAATTAAAGCTAAATAATACTACTAAATAAATAAAGTCAAATAATATTTGTAATAATTATTTATTTTATTATTAAAAATAAAAACAGAAAAATAAAATAAAATATTACAAAATTAGATGAAATTAGAATGAAAATGTAAAAAAAAGTAATGATTTTTTTAATTAATCAAAAAATATTAAACTATATTAAACAAAAAATAATTTTAAAAAATCTAAACACAAAACAAAGTACAAATTTAATCAAACCGAACACACACACACACACACACACACACAAAAATACAAATAAAAACCCATTACTCATTTATGAAGGCCCAGACTCGCAGTCCATCATCTCTGTAGAAAAAGTTTGGCAGAGAGTCCAGTTGGCGACCACTGATGTCTTCAGGCAGACAGAGAGAGCTGTAGGTCAGATCTGACAGAGCTTTCCTCATCAAAGCCATCATCCCTTCATGCCCAATACTAGTACACTAAACAAAAAATCCATCACATAAAATCCTTAACCAATCAAAACACATTCCCACACTTAATACCTGAGACAAGACACCATCAGGCCCAATCAGCCTGTGCCGAACCAGACTGTTCATCTGAAGGGTATAACGAATGTGTGGCACTAACAACTGCAAGACAATTTAAAAATAAACAAACAGTGAATATGGGTTTTTTTGAACACTGTGTTCATATCAGTGTGTTTCCTCAGGTGATGTACCTTGTGTATTGGGTGAACTGTGGGCAGGTTCCTCAGCAATGACAGTGTGAAAGTCTCTGCCAGCAGTGAACGCAAATGAAGAGCTGCCTGATGCTCCAGACAGTCTGCATTCCTCACGTAGAGTTTAGCCGTCAGCCAGTCCAGCTCAGAGTCGCTCGGCAGGAAGACTGGACTGTGCTCTGATGCCTCCTGCTGCAGCTGATACAGCAAACACACACACACACACACACACCATCACTATAACTGCATGCAAATCAGCTGTGTACAGTATAATGAACATAGTATAAACATCTTTTTTACATTTTTTCTTAAGGTTTTATTTTAAGTATTTGAAAAGTAGTTTACCTGTACATTTTACTTATTATTTGTTTATTTGCTTATTTTTGCATAAAAATAATCATGGTAATGTTTTAAATTGAACTAAATTATATGGGATACTTTTTTTTTTATTTTTTTATTTTAGGATTTAGTGAAATTTTTCTTCATAAAACAATTTCTATGAGGCAATATTTAAATTTTGTAATCATATTAATGTTTTGGAAATGAATTAAAGTAAATACCAAAGGTAATACATTTTTTATGAATTTTTTTTTCATGATTTTGTGAAAATTGTTTTTTTCAAAAATACAATATTTAAGTAATATATATATTTTTGTGATCATATTAAATATTTTGGAAATTAAAATAAACAACATTAAATTAAATACAACAAAATTTGATACATTTTATTTAACTTATTTCATGATTTAGTGAGAAATGTAGATTTTTTTCATAAAAAGATTTCTATGGGAAAATATTTACATTTTGTAATGATATTAATATTTTGCTAATTAAATTAAATTAAATTAAAAATGTGATGCATTTTATGTTTAATTTATTTAATGATTAAATTAGTAAGAAATATTAGTAAGATATCTTACGAGATTAAGAGATTAAATAGTAAGAAATATTTTTTTTCATAAAACGATTTCTCTGGCACAATATTAAAATTTTGTAATTATATTTTAATTTTAAAAACCTAGGCTAAAGTAATACTAATAAAAAAAATTTAATTAAATCTGATATTAGTTTATTTACCCAATGTCGTAATTTTGACGTGTTAAATGTATATTTTAGATAGAAAATGGTTATTGTGAGGAAAATACTTTAATCATATTAAGAAAAACATACAAAAACAGATATGATTACCTTTACTTGTGCAAATATTTTATTAAAATAAAGTCAAGTAAAACATGAAATGAATTGATCGTTTTATCAATATTACATTTTTCCTTAGTTATTGTTAATATGTTTAGCATATGTTAAGCATAAAACAGATTTATGCTTAATAATGCTCAGTTGTTATGTTTATTTATTTGCTCCCTAAAACAAGTCTTAATAACCTATAGTCATTTTAAAACTAATTTACTTTACTAATATTAAACTGCACAATGTACAACTCCAAGATGAATGTTCATATTTTACATTTTAAGACTTGGTCCAGAGCATCATTTCAGTATTGATATCAGTCAAATCCAGCACAGGTACCTGAATAGCAATGGGCAGAAGTTTTCCCTCTTGATTCTTATACAACAAACACAGAGGAGCCGTGACAAACTGCTGCTTCCCATTGATGACCTGAGTCGGTAAATCTGCCAGTCGCTTGTAGTCACATAAGAAGATGTTTCCTTGCTGTTGAGTTCAAGCCAAACACTTTAGAGGCATTACTTCAAAGCCATATTCAGTTTGAAGAAGCAAATCTGTCATAACTCTACCTTCATTTCCACATTTAAAGAAGTTCCGCTCTCCAAAAAAGGCAGAAGCATGTCATCAGAAACAGCAAAATTAAGAGGAAGTTCTGAACATCTGTGGAGCATCAGTGGATTGGGACCGTTTAACAGTTGATACCCCAAAAAATCATCATCCTTCCAGTGCAGATACACATATTCTGGTATAAAACGATTGCAACAAGATTAATGACTGATTTACTGCGTTTAACATCAAGCATATCATCTGACGTCAATATATTTCCACTTTTGCAGCTATTTTACTTGAGATTGTGGTTTTGGATGGCCAAAATGCTCTCTTCATGTGTTTGATGGCAGGCCACTGATCTGCTTTCTTCGCCAGTTTCTTCATTTTGATCTCACGAAGCCTGGAGGATAAACTCAGCATTAGTGTAACAAGCATACGCTCAATTTTTACTTATTAAGTAGACTTTACTGTGCTTCTCTTTCAGAATTCCCTTGTTTTCATCCACTCTGGGGGAACTTTGAGTCCTAATTTGGACACAACTTTCTCTGTGTTTAAGCAAGTGGAATGATATTTAGTGACAAATCTTATTTTGACACATATTAATCTTTGAAAATGTTCAAAAATTTTACACTCAGGGCAAAATGGCTATCCTTTCATTATGTTTGTGGCCCCTATTGACTTCCATTATGATGACATTTATTAAAGCAAAAGTCATATTCCAGTAACATGACCAATATTTTTTCTGCATTTAAACAAAGTGTTTTTTTATTTATTTTTATGTTAGGTCACCAAATATCATTAGGAATCGGTAGACAATACAGTCTGGTTAATCTCTTCTGTCCTACTGCATCAACACAGCATTTTTACTCACAGAACTGCAGCACACTGATGTTTTCTCTTTTATTTAGATTTGTGTGTGTGTGTGTACCCTAGAGATTGTTGTGTGTTAAAGTCCCAGTAGATCAGCAGTTTCTGAAATGCTCAGACCAGCATGTCTGGCACCAACAACCATAGTATTTTTTAAAGACAAATTGGTCTCCTTTCGGCTGCATGGTGGCGCAGTGGGTAGAATGTTTGCCTCACAGCAAGAAGGTCGCTGGTTCAAGCCTCGGCTGGGTCAGTTGGCGTTTCTGTGTGGAGTTTTTATGTTCTCCCCGTTTTGGCATGGGTTTTCTCCGGGTGCTCCGCTTTCCCCCACAGTCCAAAGATAGGTGAATTGGGTAGGCTAAATTGTTCGCAGTGTATGTGTGTGAATGGGTGAGTATGGATGTTTCCCAGTGATGGGTTGCAGCTGGAAGGGCATCCGCTGCATAAAACATGTGCTGGATAAGTTGGCAGTTCATTCCGCTGTGGTGACCCCGGATTAATAAAGGGACTAAGCCGAAAAGAAAATGAATGAATGAATGTTCCCCTTTCTGAGGTTTAGTTTGACAGTTCATATTGACTATTATCTACATGCCTAAATGCACTAAGTTACAGGTTTGCATCCGCAAGCAGATAAAGAAGGTGTATCCACTAAAGCATCAGGTCAGTGTATAAGAATGTGTGCTTTACTTACGCAGTGGAGCGATTGAAAGCTGAATCTATGTCTTTAGTGAACGAGAAGCGAACCACTGAGGGAACAGACAAGGGATCTTGAAAAACAGCCTGTTGTGGGAGACCTGCTTTAAACACAGTCCATCTTGAAGAAGAGAAAAGATACACAAACACAAAGTAAACCAATAAAGAAGACATGGAAATGATTGCACTTGAGTTTTTAGTGATGCAAACTTACCGGTATACTTCTTTGTTCAGCTTTAGCTCGTTTTGTCTGTGCTCTTTCAGTTGTGGATATTGTTCTTCATAGATTTTTGTAGCTGTCAAAATACATAAAAGTGACAGAAGCAATGTTAAGCAGAAACACCCCAAATAAAATAGATGTACGCTGTGGTTTGAAATGTTAGGGTGGGTAAGATTAAAGTCTAAACGTTAAGACTTTACATTAATATTGTAAAATATTACAATTTAATATACTGTAGCTTGTCTTTATTTGAATATATTTTTAAACCTCATTTATTTTTGTGATGGTAATGTTGAATTTTCAGCATCATCAGTCTTTAATATCACATCATTCTTCAGGAATCATACTGATGTGGTAATTGAAAATCTTTTCTTTAAATCAATTTTGAAAAAAGAAAAAAAACTGCTTAATATTAGATTACATTTTTTTACATTTTCATAGTTTATTTTCTGTTCACAAGAACCCCTTTTGTTTTAAATAAAACTATTTTTAGTATTACAAATGTCTTCACTGACACTTAATAAAATAATAATTTAATTACTGTTTAAGGCAATTTATAATTGTATTATTTTGATAACATCATTGCAATAAATTGTATTAGAATTCATAATTACAAATGACTATTATTATTTAATTATAAATGTTAAAAATGCGTTAATGATACTGATCAAAAACATTTGAATGGTATTGTACATCTAACTAAAAATGTCTAGATCAGAGATGCCCAAAGTAGGGCCCACGAGCCAAAGTTGGCCCATGGTAACCTTTGATTTGCCCCGCCATCCCATATCAATAGAGAGGGAGAATGATTTGGAGTTGGTTGGGGAAAATGCCTTTGACAGAGATCGTCATTTAGAACTTAAAGTATCCTTTTGTTTGTTTGTTTTATTAATAAGCTACACAAAAAAGCCACCTGATAATAAATGACACAATTAAATGTTGTAAACCTTTTAAATGTTATACATGAGATTGTTTACGTTTTTACTGTAGCCTAATAAGTTCCGTATAAAATGTTAAAAATGACACTGTGTTAGGTAATAATATTTAAAGCAACATTTTTAGAAAATTCTCCTGGGCAAATTTACTGTAATACAGTTTGGTAAATATTTGGCCCACAGCCCTCAATCCAGTTTGTTTTTCGGCCCTTTATAGGAACAACTTTAGATAACCCTGGTCTAGATTCCTTACAGCAATGATTAACACTTTCACATAATAATGCAATAATAGATTCACATATGCAAACCTTTGGCCTCTCTCAGCTCAATCACTTCTCTCTTTGTCATCCATCGATAACATGGAAAACTGATCACATCTTTTTCAGGAGTTTTTATGTTTACCAAAGAGCAAAACCAGTCATTTTCTGGCAAGAACAGGAAATTGTCTTTCTCAAGCCTGACCAGCAGCAAGGTGCCAAGAGACAACCTGGTCGTCACTTTGTACGTCACTTTCTGGAAATAAAAATCATACAAAATCTTAAGTAAAATAAGCTTCTGGCTCATTTCAGTTAGAGATTTCCTGAGTTCATTTGAATTTTTGACAATAAAAAAAAAAATAAATAAATACTCACCATTCCTATATTAAAATCTCTTCCATAGGTGTCAAGCTTGTTCCGCTCGCTCTCTCCTTCTATGCCAATCAGAGTTATAAAAATATTGTCAAAAGTGCCCGCGTGGGCCATAGAGCCTGTGGTCACCTCTACCTCATATACAGCATCCATAGCTCTGAAAATTAAAATAGAGATTCTGTTATTTAGCATTGATTTTTTTTTATGGCAAATTGTCAGTCAGGTGAATTTTAAAACTGTAATGTTTATAAATAGTTTTATAAAATATTTCACAATCATGGAAGGGATTGTTTAATTTAAAATAAAAATGCTCATATAATAATAGTATACTGTAATGTTTTATTGGTTATCTTAAGTTCTCTTATGCAAACCTAATTTAACAGTTCACAATTTAACATAAAACCTACACGTATCTATTAAAACAACTATAGCTCTTATAATTTTATAATTTTATTTTAAGGTTTAAGTACAAAAGAACAAACAAACAACATTGTCTTAGAATATCAGAATATACTGCTTTGCAGGTAAATATAATATGAACTGCCATACATATGGGTTCTGCTGCTGGAGAAACACAAAAAGTAGTTTTACAGGATGTAGTCCTTATAAGGTACAGTAGTGTGCCAATCAATTTTAGAGGTGCTGGATTTGGATTGAGCACATTTCAGGTCTAAGTATCCGAGAAAGGGTTCCCAGCTAGCAAAGCATATTCAGTTAGAATTGGACCTTATAAATCTGAGCTTTTCCAAGTGGATAACAGAGGCCATATCCATTAACCAGATTCAAAAGAAAGGAGGTAAAGGAGATTTCCAGTTTTTTAACATTAGCCATTTGACCACAGTCATGCCTATAGAGAGGTTGTTGGAGATGTTTTGGAAGAGTAATGGAGTGTTCTATTCGACCATTGAGACCACTCCGTGAGACAATTCAACAAATCTTGTAGATATAGGGGTTTCTGTAGACTACTGCTGTGTAACTTTGCTTCAGTTGAAAAAGAGTTGGCCTTGGACTGTCTAACCAACAAGCGGTCCTCTCAAACTGTTGTTTTACTGGGTCAGCCTGACCTGGGCCTGTCATGAAATTCACCAGTTTCTTCAAATCTGTTTTTATCCTCTTCGCATAACGTTTAGATACATTAAAGTTGTCTGCCACCTCAGCAGGAAACGTGGTCTTCAGGCTCTTGATGATCAGCACTTTGGTCTGTGGTTGAGTCTTTGGCATGTGGCAAGTCAGGAAACAAATGAAGGTTGGGTGTGCTGGGGTTCTTCTTTTATACACCTGGGAATGTGATAATTGCTGTATTTTTCACAGGTGATGCTCTCATTTGTGATTGGGTGAATCCTTTAAAGATATGACAGGTTAGACAGGCAAAGTCTAACCTGTCATTCCTAATTAAATAATTAATAATCAAGACATAAAACAATATTATTTTGGTAAAATAAGCATAATCTAGAGGCCTTTGCCTTTCATATAAGCCACTTCTGATATTAAATGATCAACTAGATTCAAGTTATTATTTGTTGTTCCTAAAACTTGGATAGGAGACGAGCCTTTTGTCAGGTAGTGTACATGTATATTGGTTTTAATAGATACTGGATCAGTATGCAACTTCTGTTGGTAGCATTTTAAAACCAATTATATCTAACATAACCAACTAATCCTAATATTATAATAGTCAATTTGTGCTGGTTTGTAATGTTTTAATGGTACTTCTAGCTTTACAGTAAGGTAGTATGTGATGAATAAGTAATAGTATTTATTCAAATGGTAGTGCTATCAAAACAATACAGTGTAGCCAGTGGTGTAAAGGAACTAATTACAAATACTCAAATTACTGTAATTGAGTAGTTTTTCTCAGGAATTGTAATTTATTAAGTAGTTTTATAAACGTGTACTTTAACTTTCTCGAGTACATGTTTAGTGCAATATCGGTACTTTTACTCAACTACTTTCTTTTAACCTGCCGTAACTACTGTATTTTCTTGTCTATGGGGATTAGACAAATCAGTTATGTGATTCCGGTCCAATCAAAAATAAAATCACATCATAATGAACTACCTCAAGATATGGGCGCTTTATAATTGCAGCAAACTGTTTGAAAGCATAAAAAGTGTCCAAGAAGACGTCCAAAATCTTTACACGCATTGACCCAGAGACTGTTTAGATGCATGTCACTAATGAGAAGATGACGGATGTTTACTGTATGATGACCAAAATGGCCTTAAACACCCAGCAGGCACAAGACCTCAACATGACATCAGATTGACATTTTACCCCAACATCATGGGGCCTTTGCATTTTGTTTGCAAATGAAAATCAGGTTGACATCACAATTCAACCTCAGGCCGATGTCAATGTCCAACCTAAAATCAACCAAATATCAACATCATTTGACGTCGTTATTGGACATCAAATTAACGTCCTTACACTGGCTAGACATTGAATTTTGGTCACCTGATATCACAACCTAAATCTAACCTAATATTAACGTCTTATGACATGTGCCTATGGGGTAATAACTAGATGCACAACAGGATGTTACACACACATGCACAAATTACATGTAAACGCATCAGCTTTTCACAGCGTAATACACAATACTCTTGAGTACTTTTAAAAGGGCTACTTTTTACTCATTCTTTAAGTAATATTTAAAACAGATATTTTAACTTAACTTGCACTACATTATTAGGCAAGTAATGTTACTTTTACTTAAGTATGTTTTTTCAGTACTCTTTCCACCACTGAATGTAGCTAATGAACAAATCACATCTGAAAAGGATGCCTGTAACTAAAAAATAAATATTAGCGGCATAGAAAGAGACACAAGTATGTCACCTATTACAAAGGCTTTGCCATACCTTTACTCTGCCAAACTGGTTGCACCTCGCAAATGGAACATAAGTGGCATAAAGGTGTTTTATCAGCATAAATCTCGTGTTTGGTGTGAAAGTACAGCAAAAAATACAAACATACCTGAGGTAGATGTTCAAGCACAGTCTGAGAGATTGTTGAAAATCAAATTAGGAAAACCTGAAACTCACTATAGCAGGACGCTGTCTAACTGGACTACTCCTATAGTGAAAAGATCAGACCATACGCAAGCGTGTTTTTAATCAACAAAATCACTACTTATCACAAATTTAAAAAGATATTTAAATGTAGGTGTTACCAAGGCGCAGCAAAGGTTGAAAATGCTACAAATTCTTAACAGCAGGAACTGATTTATTTGCATGAAGACAAATCATTCTCTTGTGGCATTTCTGTTCTTGGAATTCATTTTGGCTCTGTTAACATAGCATGTTATACCAGATTGTTGTAGTTTGTTAATGATGGCATTGTTAAGATGTCTCCAGGAAACACTTCAAGTAGTAGTAACAAAAACTTAATTAAAAAATTGTCATTGTGATGATCTATATGCAAAACAAGAAGCACAACCAAAATACCACTTCCGCAAGCTGGATGTGTACACTCAGAAATAAAAGGTACAGGAGCTGTCACTAGGACAGTACCTTTTCAAAAGGTACATATCTGTAGCTGCAGAGTCCATAATGGTACCTCAAAGGTACTTTTTGGTATAAGGGCATTAATATGCACCTTTGAGGTACCACTGTGGGCTCTTAGGCTACAAATATATCTCTTTTGAAAAGGTATTGCCCCAGTGACAGCTCCTGTACCGTTATTTCTGAGAGTGTAGGATCAGATCAGAGAATATCTGTGTAAGGCATAGGTCTCTAACTCGATTCATGGAGGGCCACAGCTTTGCACAGTTTTGCTCCAACCACAATCAAACTAAGCTGATCCAAATAATCAAGGTGTTTAAGACTACTATGGACTATTATTATTATTACTATTATTATTATTTATTATTACTATTATTATTATTATTATATCTAATTTGTGGCATCAGGGAGTCTCTATGCAAGAGACTTCTGAGAGACTTGGAATGTCTGCCTCACCATTTATTTGCTCTCAAAAGATTCAAAAAATATATAAACTATTAATTTTTTTCTTTTAACACAAAATATATTTTTGAATATCTGGTAACACTTGTACATAAATAATGATGTGTTAATATGTAAGCAAAGCATTAATTTTGTATAAACTAATGATTAATTAATGCATACGCTAATCATGAACTAATTTTAACTACAACACGAGTCACAAGGGTTCATGTGAGTTAATCACTTTTAGTACATGTTAGTACATGATTGTTTGTTAATTAATGTATTAATTACCACATTAGTTTATGCTTAATTCAACCATCATGAATTCATCATATGATAAAATATAATTATATCATGACTTCACTTGGAGGGGCATGTCATCTTAAACTTATTGCCAATTACTCATGAACTCCTTATGCTCGTCCGTCCAGCGCATTTACACTGAATAACAATAGGAATTCTGATAACATCAACAGTTTAAACACAGGAGTTCATGAGTAATTAAGAATGAGTTAATAGTAATATGCCCCTATTACTATAGTCACAACATAACTACATTAACAGCTCCTGATTTAATGTTGGTAACATTTAGCTTGAACTAAAATGTAAATTAATACATTAATTAACAACATGTACTAACAAGTAATAATAGCCATTACTCACAGATGATCACTTGTGACTTATGTTGTAGTTAATGTTAGTTTATAATTAGTGTGGACAAAAGGAATTTATTTGTATTACTTTTGTGTCTTTATTTTTTATTAGAAAAATGTTTAGACTAACAACAGATTAATCAATCTTTTTTTTGTATGATACCACATCCTGACCAGACACACTTCCTTTTTTTACCGTGCTGCATACTTTTTATAAGGAACTGCTGACCAGAAAGAAATAACAGAATAAGAATACATTTAGTGTGGGGACCCTTGTTCCGTACTCTTGTTTAATACAAAGTCTAGACATGTCACAAGGAGCATGATGCTTGTAGAAGTGGTTAAAAACATAATGAAAATGCACGTAACTGTTCAGTTCTGGTATGCAGAGATGGGTTGCAGAAAATATATCTGGGGTTCAAGAGCCAAAATACTGCAGAATGACTAATAAGTGACAATACAGCAAAACTCCACCTGTTATTATCAGTTGTGTATATGCTGGAGTCGGGAAATGTATTTTAGTTGCGAACCTCTTGAATGTAATTCTTGTATTGCATTGGGATAAGGTAACCCAGAGCTCTGTCATCGAATTATTCATTTTTACCTAATAATTTACTAATATTTTTGGCATTGAAAAAAACCCTCTCCAGACCTTTTCTTATTGAACACGCATGAAATAAGATTGATATTCCAACATTAGCACAAACCTTAACTCATCATTAATTCTTAATAAAGTAATGCTTAGTTTACATATTAACACATAATTTTTCATGTGCTATTTTTGTAAAGTGTTACTGGATATTTTTTTTTGAAAACTGGTAGACATTGACCTTTATATATATATAAAAAAAAACATTTCATGCATCATAAAACATAGCTTGGAGGTCAAGCAGGTCCTCAAAATATCTTCTTTTGTGTCCTTAAAATAGAAAAGTCATAAAGATAAGTAAATGATATTTATTATATTCAGTTTAAATAGCCAAAGATTTTGAAATTAGCATATATTTACTTGAGAAGCATTTTTAAATTATCTAATATTTTGGGGATTAAAAGGAAAATGTAAAGGGTGTATACAAATTAAAAGAACAAATATCTACTAAATTAACTCAATCTATTTAGCAAAAAAAAACAAAACAAAAAAACAACATTTTCATACCCTAATGACAGATATTTGTTATAGTTTTAAGCATATTGCATCTAAAAACATGCCATGGACTTATTGACAATTTTTTTTGTTCTTACTACGAACCTAAAATTATATTTTTCCAATATTCCTTAAAATATCTTATTTTGTGTTCACCAGAAAAACAAAGAAATTCATAAAAGCTAAAAGCACTTGAGTGTGGGTGAAGTTTGAGGTAATTTTAATTCTTTTGTGTGAACTGTCTTTTACGGGTGTTTAAGCATTTGCATTGGAAAACAACAACACAACACTGTAAAAGAAATGCATTCAATGTAATGACTTACAATAGAATTTAAACTTTTACATTCAGATAAAAAGCTTTTAATTGTGGAAAAGCAAGATCAAGATTTTTATGACCACAGAATCAGATCATCACGACCAAGTTCATTTATTACTGACATCCAACTTTTTACAGAACAACACGATTAGACACAATAATTACTGCTTCTTCTTCACAACATGTGCACAGTCATATTTGCCCCTGATCACGGCAAGTTTGACCCCTGGTAAGTCCTGGGTTCGTCCTCCCTGCACCAGCACCACGTTGTGCTCCTGCAGGTTGTG